CATTAGTGGATACGTAATTGCAGTATCATACCCGTGCTAGAAGAGCCGTCAAACAAAAAAATCTTTTTGATCGTGTGTCCCTTATATCTTATAGAAAATGCTGATAAAAAAACGTTTTGGAACTAACGTGATTTGAAAGAAAATATTATTTATATCCATATATCGTTTGAGATTGCTCTAACGTTGCAAGCATGAGCGGACATATGCGTGACTTGACTCGAAATCAGAGAGGAACTCGTTACAGAGGTCTCAAGAACATATTCAATATCACTAGGGATTTTCCAAGCTATGAGCATATGAGGGGATTCGATCCTACACTTCACCCTTTGCGTGCCGTGTGCTAACCATTGCACAACCGGGCGCTGTCAGCAATCAATTGTCATCGGTTTGGCATGGCAAGCTATCGGCATTGAAGCCACTAACGCTGCAGATACTGGATATGTGCGTCATCATCTAAAACTTTTCATTGACCGGTTTCAGCGTGGTATTATGAAACAAATATATCCAGTATCGTTAAGTGCTGTGCAAAACTTTGGATGCCGAACGGGATTCGAGCCCGCATATTACCTTTTCCAGGTGCGCTGCTAACCGTTGCACTACCGGCGATCGTCCTGTCATCACTCTTTCTGAAGTTCAATGTTTTTGTCTGTTGTTTGTGTATGTATTCTCTTTATTATACAAATGAGAGGAAGCATAGATGATGCCCATCAAGTTTTCCAGAGTTCTGCGGGACACCTTCAAAGACGTAATGGGCCGTCGATTCACGTTTGCTCATCAAGTATGCAGGGTCAATCCTTGTATGTTTTCTTCTGAGTTTTCTCAGCGCATAAATATGTTTTATAGGCGTCCACGGCTCTACGCGTTCTATTGGTCGCTAAATAGAGTGCGATCTCTACAAGCTGTGAAGAAGGCGGAATTCACTGATTTGTAAGTTTTTGTAAAATGCCTCTGTTCAACGTTCTTTTCTGTTAAATGGCACGAGATGAAGAAAAGATCTCTTTTGCTGGACAAAGACTGTCCATTCTACTTTCGGTAATCATTCGAAAGCTTAAATCTGTCGTTACTGCGTTGAATGGTCGCTTCTTGAAAGCCATAATAACATAGTGGGAGAAAAGAAGCTTAGGATACAGGTGCTTCCTCATAAGACATGATCTGCTTTTCCAAAGTTTAATTTTGATTTAATTTTGCTATCTTTTATCTTTTCGGGCTCAGCAAAGTGATACCATATTAGTGGAACAGCTTCACTAACTTGATACATCGGTTGATAACCAGGAATTTTGCAAAGCTAAATTTGCATCCAATCACCTTGACGATGGGTTCAAAGGAAATGGGCCTTATGCATCTCTTAGGGAGTGATCAACACCAGGAGCTTTAATTTTTCTCAAATTAAAACGCTAGAAGCAATAAAAAGGCGCTTTGAAGATTAACATGATGTTTCAAGTTTGTTAAAGATCTGTGCCTAACACCATCCAAAAACTTCTTTGGTATTTTGACGTGAAAGGCTTACTGAAGCATTAGCAAAGCTTTCTACCGAGTTGGAACGTTCAAACGTCAAGATTTTTGGGTAAGCTTTCTGAAGACAAGGATTGGTGCGTCGTATCTGCATACTCAAGAGCACTTCTAACCATAGTATGAACGAGCTTGTCGAAATGGATGTAGAGCTTGCCGACAATAGCTAGACACCATTATTTCCTGTTCGCATTTTGTTGTTTTCTTTAATCAACATTGAACTGTTCGTAGGATTCTTAACACATATATTTTCACTTCTTTCAGTTGAACATAACATGGCGAGATTTGTGGGCAAGTTGATCTCGTTCACGAGTAATTGAAGTTGGCAAGTAACACGATTGTAACGTGACTGAAATAGTGCAAGAGCTAGGGCCTGAACAGTGCGAACAATACTGAGTTCTTCACAAATGGATAACGAGTTTGAAGACTCCTTATGTTCCGAGTTTTGCTCGTATCTCAGTATCCCTTGCTTGTAAATTATTGTGATGTTTGTGTAATTCCGTATGTACATTTGTACTTCCTTATGTTCCGAGTTTTGCTCGTATCTCAGTATTCTTGTGCTTGTAATTCATTGTTATGTTTGTGCCATTTTGTATGTACATGTAACTTCCTTGTGTAACTCAGTGTCAAAAACGCTGTTCACTGTGTGATTCAAATTTTTATTAATAAAGTTTTCTTCTGCCGAAGTTGGGGAACTGACAGTACATTGCATGCCAATTTGACCGTTACAAGTTCTAGCGGATGCAGTACTGCTAGAACGTCAGTCACTAATGTATCTATGCAATCTTGTTATTTACAACCTCATGTCAGTTTATTAAGAATCATGAACAATGCACAATGGTCAAAGAGATAGTCAGTCATGGGATTAACGCAGCAGTACTACACATCTTTGGTTCCCGCAGCCTGGTAGTTAGTTCCGTCATACAGGACAGGATACAGGAACTCATCCAAAGGGTAGTACCTGCTAGACCTAGGAACTCATTCGGAGGACTATACTGCCAAACATAAGCGCCCTTGTGAAGGGTGGTGCTGCTAGGCATAGAACCATATCCGTAAGGTAAAACAACACATGGAGACTAATTCATAGTGTAATACTGCCGAACATATAATTCATACTGGATGGTAGTCTTGCTAAGAATGGAAACCCATTCGAAGCGTAGTACTGCCAGACATTGAAACCCATCCAAAGGGTATTACCGGTAGACATAGCAACCATCCGAATGGTAGTACTATCAGAGGTAGACACACAGTCGACAGGCAAGGTTGCCAGTGAGAAATCCATCCGTAAGGCGGTATCAGACATAGAAACCCATTCGAAGTGTAGTTCTGGTGTACCCACAAACCATCCGAAGTACAATACTGCCAGGCATAACTCATCCGAAGGGTAGTACTGCCAGACATAGAAACCCATTCGAAAGGTAGTACCAACAGACATAAATACCATCTGAGTGCTAGCACTGCCAGGTATAAACACACGTTCGACGGGCAAGACTGCCACAGAGAAACTTTTCGGTAAGGTGGTACTACCAGACATACAAAACCATTCGAGGGGCAGGCCTGCCCATCCGTAGATAAGTCCTACCAAGCAGTGATACCATCCGGAGGCTAGTACTGCCATGTCCTGAGAGCTCGGGGTCGTGGGTATCACTCGACTCTGCTCGTCAGGAGATGTCGAGGATCAATCATCGCTCCACCCCTCTCGCATCGGCTCTCCGTGTGTACATTGTGGCGTGCAAATGCATTCTGTTCGGGACCTTCATGTGTCCAATCGAATTTCGCTACTCGTCGTTCCTCTTGTACTCGGTAACCTCTTCTTCGGTTCACTCTTTAGGCATGATCTTAGTACAGGGCTGTCTCTTCGACAAACCCTTAGTCTCTTTGGTTTTCACATAGGGTTTTCTGAAGTTTCCTGGACTGTCTTTCACTAAGCCTCAAGTGTTATTGGATCTCTCATTTGGTTTGGTTGAGTCTTCCGGACTGTCTTTGACAAACCCTAAGTTTTTTTCTGGTTTCCCCATTGGGTTTCATTGAGTTTTACTCGAGATCGATGAATCAAACTGTAACTTTAAAGCATCGCCTTGTGTCTTTTACGGTTTTGTTTGTGTCTAAGAAACATTTCTGAATAAAAAGACAATTTTTCTTTATTAAACCGCTTACTACACTTTTAGAATTGCTTAGCGTAGGCGATTTTGTTGTGGAATTTTGTAATTTTGTTATGATATCATAAAGAATTTTGTTGCTGTTTTGTTACGCTATGAGGTGTTGTTTTATCACCGTATGAAGGCTTCATAACGGCCTCATATCATTTTAATTTTCTTCACAACTAGTTACCTTTGAATTCTGTGTCATTTACTATACACTCTATATCATTACTATTGTTATTTTCATTATTACCATCATCCTACGGCGCGAATGGTTAGAGTGCCGTGCGACACGCGCGCGGTCGGTCGATGGTTCGATGCCGGGTCTAACCTCACTACCTTCCATCCCTCAGTGGTCTCTGAATTGGTGGTATCAGACCTGTCTGGAAGGGTAACCGCACTGACTTGATACATTAGTAAGCCACCGTGAGTCATTGCAGTGGCCAGATAAGCATTCAGTTATCCCGAACGATTCCTGATGAAGACCACCCACCACATGGCTCATCCCTCGGGAACCAATCAGCCGAGAGCTTTTCAATGAAATATTATAATTTTCATTTTTAGCAGCATCATATATGTCAGGTAATCTTGAAGAACGCTCATTACTCATACCGCGTCTAAATAATGGTCGTTTTTAAGAGGTATATTGATTCGCCACATTCTCAGTATTTGTTTGCACGCAATGGGGAGAAAACGTGGGATCTCAGGGGATACGAGAGAGTAGAGAGGTTCGAATTCGTCAAAAGCAAGTGTCCCAAAATTGTGAAGGTAATCAATCAGCTAAGATGATAACATGTTTGAGCCCGTTGTGAGGTCTGACATGGGCACTTATACAAGGCTAGACAGGCGCCTGTTTCGTGCTTGCGCACTCCTCACTAGCACAGTCACCCTCGTTTCAGCAGATCCCTTGGAAATTACCCCTATATAAGGGAATCGACGTCGAACTAAACATGAACGCAAGTCAGGTGACGAAATTCCCCGACACTGCGTGACCACAGTCGGGTGTTTTGGCTGTTAAAATGAGTCATACCCCACTCTCGACCGTTTAAGTAGACCTCGGCTTAAAACAATGATAATATACTAAGCGATTCGGATTCGCAACTGGGCTTCGAAGAGATCGGCTGAACCGTGGAAGACTGAGCTGCTGAGGAGTCCGGAAGGACGAAACAGGCACCTGTATAGCACTGCGTAAGTGCCCATATCAGACCTCATAACAGTTTCAGACATGTTATTACGTTATCAGATTATCAGTTTTGAATGAAATCTATGTAAACGGTCGAGATTAGGGTAAAATCAATAAGTAATTGAGTAGTATGAGTTCAATAATGTTGAGTGATATCCGAAACTTTGGACGTCGCACGGGATTCGAACCCGCATTCCATACTTTATGGGGGTATGTCTAACCACTGCACTACCGACGCTCCTGTTCTGCCATCACTCTTTCTTCGACGCAGTTGTATCGATCTGTCAGCAACCAACCGTCAACGATTTGGCATGACAAGCGATGTCGGCATTCAACCCAGTCATGCTCACAGATATTGAATATATTTATGATTGTGTGAGATTCGATGTGGATGAGATTTGGATTAATCTTCCCTTATAATCTACAAGGATTTTATCTGACCGTTCTCATAGCAGTGTTGTGAAGTTATAACATGGATTCTCAATGATATAAAGAATCTTCGACCCCAGGCGGGAGTTGAACGCCGGTTCACCCACACAGGGGTCCGGGGTCGCGTGCAACCACTACACAGGTGGTGCTCGCTAGGGGAGAAAAGCGTGTTCAATTCGTGCTTGGGTTGGAAGACTTACATATCACCCAGCATCCCTGAATATTGAATGGATAGCCCATTGTAAACGAATGGGAGTAATTCTGTACCTATTGTACTGCATATTTCCGATATCGGAAGTCTACACAGCTCGCCTTCTGTGGCGTGTGAGCATTTTCATGCTATTAGAGTTAGTTTGAGACTTCAATCTTTGCCAGTTTTTCCTTGAAGTTTGATGTAGTCTCTTCTGATTTATAGATCATCATAACTCGATGGGGACGCGTTGCGACTGCAAACATTCTTGCAAACGAATAGGCCGTTTAATCCCCCTGGGGATCGCGTGTGTTACTTTGAACACACTATTGGCTAGAGGTATTTTTCTCTGGATGAAACTATCTAATTGGACTCGTAGTAGTAATTTAATAGCTTGAGAGATGGCAATTTTAATCTTGTACTTGGTTTCCGAAAAGGCGTTGTTATTGCACTGCAGCGAATGAAAATCACTTTTCACCTCGAGACTCGTTTTTCGCCCGGCTAGCTTATGTGGATGGCTTTTTGATAGACTTTTGAAAGGCTTTCGATAGCTAGGGAAACGGCGATTTCTATAGTGTACTTGCTTTCTGAAAAGTCCTCATCGCCCCGTTGCAGCCGCGAGAAAATTACATTTCGCGCTTGGAATTGTCACCTTGTTCTTTCCATTCCATAGCGCATTTGTTTGAGAATATGAAGTGAGGATGATAAACTAACACTTACAGAACAATAGAACAAAGTATATTCTACAATTCTATCTAAGTTCTGACTTTTAAACTACACTAGAGTAAAGAATTAGTGGGAGTTATCGATGAACTGATAGCGCATATCATTTTTGTGCTTTGTGCAGTGTGCATTGTCATTTTTGACAAACTAGCGTTTTTTTTCTCAAAAAGAATAGTTTTGTATGCACAAAAAACATAGCAGAGTGTATGGGAAATCATGGGAGATCGAGATAATGGGAGGAATTTAGAATTCCCCCTGAAACGGAGAAAAAACCTCAATCGACTGGCGAAAATTACGCTGCGTGCAGTGACTCCAACTGCGCTTCCGAAAGAGTCAAGAAAGTCGGGAGAAACTACGCCTGGAATCTGTTCAGTGAAAATGGGTATCCTCTGTCACTAAACAGGAACATTAACAGGAAACCATAAAGAAGCTGTGCAAATAATACCAAAATCTTATATCACGTGCCGGACCATCAATCGAGGCACGCGATTGGACCGTCAATATCTATGTGTACTCGCTTCAGTCTTTATTTTCCATGAGGTCCGAAGAAGGTGGATCGTAGTGAGTTTCTTCATTATCGTTATGTTGTTCAGTTGTCAGAAAGGAAAAAGGGGAGAAGAAATATGGGCAGAATAAGTGACAAAGTGACTGGCTCTTTCAAAATACTGTTCAGTCGCGTATGTACACTATACCGTCCATACGGTTCAGACTGTGATAATGGCGCTTTACTGAGTGTAATATGATTTTCATTCAATACAAATCTACTTTTAAATATGGGGAAATTGCATAGTGGAGCTTCCTGTGTCTAGTACATGCACTTACGTTTTATCATAGGATTAAATTGTATAGATGTGGGTCGATTGATCAGTTTTCTCTTATTTTTGAGTTGGTCTCACAACTGCAAGAGAGATATGTTATGATGCACATAATTCAAAGGGTTAAGCGGAATGCCATGATTTTTAGGCCGTTGTGGAGAGTTGTGGTCTCATCAATCTTTGGTTCATTTCTGTTTAGTAGCACAGATTTTCAAGCTATTTCTTACGCTCGATAAAAAGTTTTCGTAAAGAACGTTGCTAATGTGGAGTGCTGTGCAAAAACATTTGCGTCAGCCGGGATTTGAACCCAGATCTCACTCTTTCCGCAGACAACGCGTCATAGCGTTGAAAGAGTGCTGTGCAAAACGAGCGTCGGTGGTGGAACGGTCAGCATACGGTCCCGGAAAGAGTGAGATGTGGGTTCGAATCCCGGCTGATGCAAATGTCTTTGCACAGCACTCAACATTATTGGGCATACTATAACATCATACCACCGCAAGTGGCGGTCAAATTAAAAGAATTCTGAGTGTTGGTAATCATTCGAAAGCTTAAATCTCAAGCTAGCACTGTACGTGGCCGGTTTTTTTTTTTTTTGAAAACACCCTTTCCTAGAAATCCTAGCGCTGAGAAATTTGAAATAAAATTATGTTTTACATTGGCCGCGCAATTCAACTATTGCTTCGCTGGAAGCACGAAAAGTACGTGAACGTGTAAAGAAATTTTTCTAGTATTAGAGTCAGTCGTTTAATTCGAAGTTTCTTCCAAAGCGCAGAAACGATTCCTAATCAATTACACCTCACTTAGGTGCCATCGATCGATGTTCGTCCCGACCCACCCGCTTCCCTCACACCATAGTACGTGAATTGGCCAAAGAGCACTGGATCGCGCATGTAATCAATAGTCTCCTTGTTGCGCTGCAGAGAAACGCTCTTTTCAGGAATCAGGCCAGCATTGGAATTGGTAAACTTTACGCTATCAAAGAAATATTGATACCCTAGGGAAATATGCGTGTGTAAAACGCAGTCTTGTTTTGAATTTTAAGGCGTTATAAAAGGGTCTTTCAAAAAAGCCGACCATGTAGACGAATAATTTGAAACTTAAGCTTTCGAATGGTTACTAACATTTTTCATGGGAACTTCATCTCAAATTTAGGGGATAGGCTTGAAAATGTGTACTACTAAGCGGAAAAGTGCCCAATTTGTTAAGTATTTTGTAGATTGATTTCTTCAAGGAAGAAATTACGAGAGGCTTAGGTTTAGGTTTAGGCAAAATTGATAGAACCACAACTCTTTACTGGCGTCAATTTCTATTACTTCTACTAGATGAGATAATTTTGATTCAAATTCATGGAGATGGAAAGTCATCACACTATGCAAAGAAAGCAAGAGCGCTGTCAGAATCACCGTTTCTCAAGCTATCGTATGAGTGCTAAAGGTCTAGTGAAAAACCAAGCAAACATGAGAGCAGATCATAAGACTCACTCCGAAAGTGAGACGTAATATTTTTTTGCTGCTACAGTGCACTAAGTTTTTTTTTTTTTTTGAAAACCAAACATAGTATTGAATCCGCCGTTTCCCATGGTATCGAATGACTCCTAAAGTCTAAGGGAAGAGCTCTGCCCAGCGAAAACAAAATTGTGTACAAGCGCAGGTAAACCCCGTTTCCTAAGAGTTAAAGAAAGGTATGATTTATGAAGGATAGAGCTCTCGGCGTTAATTAATCCCTGAGTGATTCGCCAGGCATTCGTTTTCAATTTTTAGCTTCGTTTGAGGTAATTGGATGTGCATTTGTCCTTTATAATGGCTTGAGGTGGCCTACCAGCGTATCAAATTAGCGCTGTTTATCCTCCCGGAAAAGTCTGATACCAATTCAGCGGTCCCGGAGAAGATGGAAGCCGTTGTGAGCCATGAGCGCGAGTTCGAAACATCGACCTTGTTTGCGACGCGGAGCACCTCTACACACAGCGCCGCATGCGCCTCAAAGAAAGTATGCCCGTGTAATATTATGGTACTTCGAGTAGAATTGCGTTACGAATTACTGATGCTTTTGTATGGCAGGGTAGTTCCTTTCACGCTTCCAAGATGACTTTTTGCTTTTGTTGAGGCCACGAAACATCGTCATAGATATTGGCTTCTGACTGCGAGATAAATGAACAGAGAGGATTCCGTCTACCAGGACATGCTGGTAGTCCTAAATGTAACAGCGGTGTTCCCCAGTCTTATAGCGGTGCTCCTCAATCTAACAGTGGTATTCGGTACTTACGCGACGTGACCTCTGTAGAAGTCATATCCCTTTAGGGACCATGTGGGACGTCTCGTTCCATGCCGCGCGGCGTCAAATCTCACTTAGCTACTGCAGTGGCGACACCACGCCCCGTGAAAAAGGCGGCGCTTCTCATGGGAACCAGACGCAACAGCGTGATGTTCTTGCACAGAGACGCAGGTCTGCTCCCTGCGAGCGCTGCGCAAGCGACGGCGCGACGCCGCCCGCCTATCAATGTTGGTTCTCAGAGGGATATCTCAAAGAACACAATGATCGGACCGATATCTGCAGAGGTCATTTTTTTTTTCGTGTTTTGTTTAGGCGCACACAACTGATTTTCCTACACTTGTCGCAGTCAGTCGAGTGCTTATATCATTGTATCAAAGATATGGAAATAAATCTTTTTTCGAAAAAATCTTTAACTGGGAATCTGACCGGCAAATGACCACTATTGGAATTGTAATAGCTATAATGAGCTGTTATAATCGTATAAGGGGTAAGGAGGGAGGGAGGAGAGCGGAGCCAGACACTTCAAAATGCTTACAGTATCTATTTAATGTGATTGAAGTATCTATTTCTACTGTTTTTTTAGCAGTTTTATGATGGTACCATCCGGTTAGGAGGGATATAGCGCTTCCTTGTCATTATGAAGGGAAATAAAAAATCTATCTCATTCGCTGGAGGGGAACATTTCTCAGGAGTGTTAGTAACCATTTGAAAGCTGAAACTTCAGGCTACAGCCCCATGTCGCTGGTTTTCGCAGAATCTTTTTTTGTGACGTTGCTACAAGAGGAGACTTGCGTTACAGGCGCGCATATT